AAGCCAGCACTGAGCATAGCCTCTGCTCAGGCACGGTCAGCAGCACAGCTCTGCAAATTGCAGGGAGCTGCTGTGTTTTGTGTGAGCTTGCTGATGTGGACAGATAGGTTTACCAGCTCTTTTTCCTTCCAGCCCTCAAGCTCATCAAAGCAGAAATCATTACAAAGCCCAAACCATACAGACCAAAACTGGGATTGACTCAGTTGGAGCATGGTGCTAATAGTGCCAAGGTTTTGGGTTGGATTTCTGTGTCTGGGCCATTCACTTGGACTTGATGATCCTTGTGAACCCCTTTCAGCTCAGAAGATAAAATGTATGACACAGTCATCTTTTTCATACATGGACTAATGCCTTACTCTTACAAAAAAAACCCCGTATATCTTTTAAGGCACATCAAATACCTTGTCTGAAATCTTCCTTTTCTTGTAACATCCAAATTACAGCCAAGCAGGTTTTTGCACCTGCTTTTGCTAATGACTTTCTAAATACAGGAAGATTAATGATAGTTATCAAGTTTGTTTGCTTAAATATGTATAATTGTCTTCGCTGTGTAATATCCCACACAGCCCATGGTGTTGGCAGACCAGTGTCAGAGGGAAGCTGAAGCACTCTATTGCCAACTCAGCTGTTAGAAACTGAAGAAGGAATTCAAACTACCTGTTCATTCCCCTCTCCCAGGGACAATGGCACAAATGCACTTCTCCCACTTCCTGCCCTGGGAAGCTTTGTCCAAGGGTTTGGAGACTTTGTGCAGAAGATCAGGCAAATGCACTGTCACACATTGGCAAAGAGTGACACGTTCTGTTCTGTGGGACTGCCCAGTGTGCAAAAGGGACACAAGTGCATTGGTAGTAGCAAATGATCTGTTGAGGCTGCCAATACTGGGTTTGACATGCCATTATAAACAATGTTTCCTGACAGAAAAGCTTGTATTAAATCAATTACCACAAAATGGCTCTGTTTACGAAAAACAGTCACACTATTTAATCAGATATGTTTTCAGAGCAAGCTTTCATACAGATGAATTTGTATCATATCAGGAGGTTAAGAATAAAACTTTGTCTTTAAAGTACTGTATTTTCCAGTGTTAGGAAAAATGAAAATCTATGGAAATCTTCTTGAAAACCTTGTTTCCTTTCTAGTTATTATTCCTGTAGCAAGTGATAGTGATATCTCAGTAGAAGTTTAGACACATAGAACATGTTTCAGGTGGTTACTGGGATAAATCTTTACATATACTTTTCACTGGTATGACATCATAGAAAATGTAGTCTAAAAACTGTTGGGTGTTCCGAAAAACTGGCTAATCATCTAAACACAACCTACAGAGTCACTCTTAGTGAAAAAATCTCTTTTTTCCATCTCTTCTCCTTTGATTACTCTTCTTTGTGTACCACTTGTTTTTTTCCATCAGGTGGACAGAAAAAGCAAACCCTAGAATGAAAGCCCAAGCCAAAGAAACCTTCTGCATCTAAACAAAATGCTATTTGCAACAGGCAGCGGATAGTTCTAATTCAGATAATCCAAAGTAGGTCACCTTCATGAGTCTTCCAGACTTTCCAACTTAGCAACTCGGATGGATAATAAAACAATTTTTAGTTAATGAGAGAACATCAGAAAAAAAAAGAACTGCAGGAAGCTGCGGACTGCAGTATCTCCTTACTGAGACAGAATGCCACATGGCAAGAACAGATGGGTAATCCTTCCGTGATTATCCTCGACCACTGGCTGAAAGAAAAAGCTGTCACAACATGGAGGGCTGTATATAAAGTATATATACAGCCATTTCCCCTCATTGATAGTAAAAGGTTTTATATGCAAGAGATTATAAAGAAAAAGGGACGCTTTAATGTAATTGTGAAGGGAATAATTCTTCCATTTTCCTTCACTTCCTGAAGTGGAGCATATGCCAAGGTCCTGAACTAAATTTATCTCTCAGAAGGAAGGTGTAATATACATTCCACATCCATATTACGTATTTTGTACAAACCGAGCATAGAACCTGCTTTTATTGTCTTTGAATCCTGACAGAGTATGTTCAGTTGATAATTTATAGACAGTGTTACCACAGTGAAATGTTGGTGTCAAAATTTTGGCTTTTGCATATTCATTGACACCAGAGTTTTCATTTGTGATGTGGCAAAATGAAACCAGAGCGGATTAAGAAAGGTTTGTTGGAATCTCAAACTTTACAAAACCACCAGAATGGAAGGCATTTCTTGCATGCAGTGGTCACATCTCCTTTGACTTTAGTTCTGCCCATGTACATAAGAGAGAACCTGAATTCTATAATCTACTTGGAGAATAGCCTGACGTAAAATGAGTACCTGGCAAAGAATCTTGGTTTTGTTTATGAAAAGAAAATATGGAAGAGTGCATATCCACGGTACAGGATACCTGAGTGGTGAAGAACACACATGTAAACCATAAAATGACAGAATTGCAGAACATGAAGTTAATGGTGGTTCTGTGGTTCCAAAAAAATTAAAATACATTTCCTCTACCTTTTAAGTCTTGCAATATGCCAGTGTTTAAAACAAAAAGTAATGTTTTGGGAACTTGTTGCAGATCAGACAGTGACTTGTAGTCTGAGATGGTGAAATTCTCAAGGAGTAATTCCCTACCCTGTTTTGCTCTTTCAGATTTCATGCTTAGACAAGTAAGACTGCCAGACTCCCAGGGAAAAGATCTATGTCCTCCATATGCACTAAAGGGATTAGGAGTCTTGTGTTGTTCTGGTAGTGGTGGAAGGAAAAAAAAAAAAAGAAAGACTTTGTCACTTTGGGAAAGAAGACCAGTCTTCAGAAGACATTGCTACTGCAGATTACTCATTAAACACTGCTCGTGGCTTATTTCCAACCTTTTCTATTCCTAAGGCACATTCCTTACATGCTGTGATTTTTTTGATATCATAGGAATATACACAAATTTTGTATTTGTTCTGTATTCTTCACAGATTTTAAGACTGAGTATGTTAGAGATACCCACTCTTAGACAAATCAGTTCATTCACCTTTTTCCCCTTCATCTCATAACACATACCCAAAATCTAACTTTTGATGTGATAAGGACTTGACTGTTTTTAAGAAAAATGCTAATCTTCACTCTGAAATAACTTAGTCTTCCACTGATTACAGAATGTGCTTCGAAACCGCCTATGAGTCAGGCTGTGAGTTGGAGTTCAGATAAGCCTGCAGTGTTTGTTCACCAGATGGACCATAAGCTCTGCAAAGTGGAGCAAAGGATATTGCTTATTAACACTGCTCCCAGCTTCACTTATTTCTTTGTACAAAGTCTGGTTACTTGATGCAATTCGAGACTATATTTACACTATTAGGAGGAGGAAACATATTTTTTATAACAGGATAGGTAAATCTAGAAAAGTAGATCAGACTAAAATGGAACTGAGTACAGTTCCTTTATTACATCATTTTAAGTAGGCAAGATTGATACCCTCCACCTCTTAAACACTCCCACACTGAATTGACATACCTGTGCAGTGGCAAAAAAAAAAAAAATTGATTTAATGTCTTGGAATTTTAGAGCAAATTAGCCAAGTCACCATTGTTACCTGTGCTTAAAACATATTCTCTTGGACAGACACGTGCAACCATCATAATACTTATATAAGAATCAAATCTTGTTTTTCTCTTATATACTTTGTGCTAGATACTAATTCTCACCTAACATGGACAACATGGGGAATTTTCAGAGAGGTAAGTATCTAAAGTGTCTTTTGTGTAACCTGATTAAATATTTTCTGATGAAACACAGCTCAATCAAGCTGCCATTATTCATTAACATTATAAGGAAATTCATGTAATAGTTTTATGCAATTTCTGATTTTAGTTTGTTCTTTGGATTGGTACATTTCTTCAGTTTCTGTGATTTTTTTTTCCATCTTCATATTCTCAAGATGCTCAGCCTTGCCCTTTTCCCTTTTTAGTTAGAATCAGCACAAGAAAAAAATAAGTTATTAGTTATATTCTCTTCCTTCTATTTGGCTGTTTTCTTTAGTTCAGAAGAAGGATGTTTTGAACAGTTAGTGGTCATTGGTTATACCACAGTTTCAAAAATGAATGCCATACCTACTGCAATGTCCTTTCCAGATTTTACATGTCTCTAAATATGGAGAAAGGAGGATGTTGAAGGAGGAGGAGTCTGCTCCTCTCTCTGCTCTGGTTTCTCTGTCAGTGCAGAAGCATCTCTTGCTGGGGCTCCCACCCATACACAGGGCTGACTTTACACTGAAGACTCAGATCTTTATGGCCTATAAATTGTTGTGGTTTGGATACAAATCTTCTCTCCAGAAGGGCTTTCAGTAGGACATGTGTGAGACTGAGCATGCACTGCTGTTCCTCACTGCCTTATCAGTCACAGTAATTATATACAGAAATTAGGAACATCCAGAGACATTTTCCAGCAGATATGTTACCCCATAAAATCTGGAGGAAATTTTCCAATAGGTCATAAAAATTTTAAGAACCATGGATCACAAGCCCATCACAATTACACAGTTACTCAGTACTTTATAGAAAGCAGTGTTGCCCTGTGCTGAAGTATTGCCTGCCTTGGATGTTGCTGTTAGGGCTTTTAACCATTTTAGGGTATCCATGGGAATGAGTCTCCCATTTCCCAATGAGGCATGCAGGATTGGAACCAGGTCCTGAGGCTCTTGAGAGCGCTGGGTCATTTGGCCTGTACAGAGTCTGCTTCTTTTCTGGCACCATGAGCACCTCCTGCCATCTACAAGCCCAAGGGAAGGCTGCAGGGAGCAATCACTTACTAGGACCATAACTTCCTTTTGAAGAGCAAAGCATTTAATCCCAAATGGAAGATGCTTTTATCTTGTATTTGTCAGCAAATTTGCCTGACTGTGTTTGTAATGCGCAATTATTGATAGTTCAGAATAAAAATTATCCATCATCTTCCCGAGCTGCACAGTACCTGTCAGAATATTCAGGAACACTTTGAGCCTTTTTCATTTCTTTGTTCTAACAGCCCACTTCACTGTACTGTGGGACCAACAAATCTGATGCATGTGCAACTGGTGTGGAAGCCTGACACTGTCAAAATTTGTTATCATGGGCTCTCTGCCATCACCCCAGCTGGCAAAAATGGGACACAGTTCCACTGCATGAATGGAAGGTCAGCCAGACGCTGCTCTGCTGTCACACAGAGAGGAGGCTTTCTGGGCTGACTTTCCTGGAAGTTCCTAATGATGCATTTTGACCTCTCTGTTTTACAGACACCTTGCAGTCAGTGATACTCACAGAGTGGCACTCTTTGAAACTGACACATACTTCATCTGCTTGTGAAATGTTGCAACCAAGGATACCTCCTGTAAAATTTTATTTGTAGCCCCACTGGATCCTTTAATAAAGGATGCTTCTGAATCTTATTGCTTGTTTCATTTTCTTCAGATCAGAAACTAAAGCACTTCCAATGGAAACAAAATCCCGCTGGTCTGTGCAAATCCTACCTGGCTGTCATTTTAAAAAGCAACTGTTCTTTCTAGGAGATAGTCTTTGGATTTGGTTTGTAAAGTGGAATTAGGCTTACAAAAAGCACTGTACAGGCAGATTAAAAAAACACAAAACTCCCTACTTCGGTCCTATCATCAGATAATGAGATCTTTCAGATTAGAAAGCCAATATCATTGTGGGAGAAAAAGGCAACTGAACGGTCCGTTATGTTCACTTTTTGAGACACTGGGCATTCAGTTACCGTCGCCCTGTGCCTGGTCCCTGCGGACCTCACCAGGCTGTGGAGGTGTTGCACCTTGCTCTCGCTCAGTCTGCTGAGGCGAAATGATGCCAGGGACCCTTTATGCTTCAGGAAAAAAAAAAAAAAAAAAAAAAAACAACAAGAAACCAACCCAAAGCATCGGCCCAGCCCGGGGGAATTCGGGCCGTTTTTGCCGGTGAGCGGTGGGCGGGCGGGCCCGGAGCCGCGCGGTGCCGCGCTCCCTCAGAAGATGGCAGTCACCGCCCGCCGCGGCCGCCCCCTCCCGCCGGGAGCCGCCGCCCCGCCCCGGCCCCTTCCCCTCACGCAGCGCCGGGGCGAGCCCGCCGAGCCCCCGCACCGCTCCTCCTCCGCCTCCAGCCCACCCTCCTCCTCCTCCTGCTCCTTCCTCTTCCTCCGCCAACCCCACCCCTGGCCCCGGGCTGGCCCGGCCGCGGGCTGCCGCGCCGCCAGGGCTCCCCGCCGGCTTCCCCCATCCCCACGCGCCGCGAACACCTCCTCCTCCTTCCCCCCCTCCCTCCTTCCCCACCTCCGCCCTCCTCCTGCTGACGTCTGGCTCTGCCCGGCTGAAAACTCGGTGCCGCGGCGGATGCGGCGGCTCTCGGGAGCGCGGCGGCGGCAGCAGCAGCGAAGATGGTGGCGGCTCCGTGCGCCCGGCGGCTGGCGCGGCGCTCCCGCTCGGCGCTGGTGGCGGCGCTCACCGTGCTGCTCCTGCAGACCCTCCTCGTCTGGAATTTCAGCTCCCTCGACGCCGGCGAGGAGCAGCGCGGCGGCCGCGAGAAGCGAGACCGCGGCGGAGAGCAGCGGGGGCAGCCGCAGCGGCGCGGACCCGCCGCCCCGCACGGCAAGGCGATGGTAGGCGGGAGCGGGAGCGGCGGCGTCTGGCGGCGTCTGGCGGCGCCGCTGCGGGGCTGCGGCGCGGGGAACTCGGCGAAGCCGCCCCGGGGAACTCGGCGAAGCCGCCCCGGGGCTCGCGTGCCCGCACCCCGCGCGGGCGCCTCCCGCAGGTGCCGCGCTGCGGGGCCGCTCCTGCTCCGGTCCGGCGGCAGCGCCCGGGGGGCCGCGGTGCAGAGGCAGAAAACGCATCCGTGGGATCCTCTCCCTTCCCGAGAGAGGGATCGCTCGTCCCACTCCCCGCGCTGCCTGCCGCGGGCATCCCGGCATCCCCGAACTTCGCGGGAGAGCCGCCTGCCTGCCCCACAACGTCCTGGGGGTTTGTTTTAGTGCTACTTTGCTTTTTCCACCCGGAAAAGCGCACGGCCGCTATTCTTTATTGCATAGCTCTAACAGGCCCCGGAGGTGATGGGCAGTGAAATGTAGTGCGAACGTTTTATTAACCGCTGACAACTCCGGGACATTGAAACTGTGCCCACGCAGGATGAGGACCTTGTCTCTTATCTTATTCTTTTGCAAACTCTCTGGTTTTCATTCAAATGACTCAGGCCTGAAACCAGAAGGGGTTGCAATTCTGGCTCTATTGCCAGTTGAAATTTCTACTTTTGAATTTTCTATTTTTGAATTTTCTATTAGGCATGTGAAAAAGCAAATTAACAGTGTTCTTGCAAACCTCAGTTATGTAGCACCAGTACTAGTATTCTCTAGCTCAGGAGAAGCTTCTTTTGGTTTTCACTTTATTCTTTCAGCAGTAGGCTTACATTATGTACGTGATGCCTCCTGAAGTGCATGCTTAGTTTTGTCAGTTCCTGTATTTTTGTTTATATCTTTGAGAGAGAAAGCAAGAACCTGGGGCTCAGAGGTGACTTACCCTTGTAAATTACAGTGAGTGGTTTGCTCTCGAAAGGCTGCAAAGAGCTGAGCTCCCAGCACACGAGTACTCCATCACTAGCATTTAGGATAACTTGTAGTACCTACCCATCCACTGTGTGCAGATCCTGCTCTGCTTTCTAGATGTGGAAATGAAAATTCTAGTTTACTGATTTCAGTTTTTGTTTCTACACATAATCTTATCTTGGTGTTTGCTGTGTTTGTAAGTGTAGCTATTTAGTCTCCACTATTTTTCCTCCATCACCTTGCCCTCTGCCTCTTTTCCTGCCCATCAAGTCTTTTATGCTTTCATCTCTCCATCCTTCCTGGTCTCTCCAGTGTGGGTTATCGAGGTTGGCTGACGCTGGTACCTGGGCAGGCAGGGGGCCGGGAGAGGGCAGGCTGCCCCTGGAGCTTCAGCCCTGCTTCCCAGCTCCCCAGACTTTCTAGGAAATGATCCTCTTCTGTGGGCTCAGGGCTATGTTGGAACATGTACTCTAAGCAGTTCTCCTACAAATGTCCTGGCACAGTGTCCAGTTTGCACCCGATGTGCTGGAGGAGCGCTGGGTTCGGGTCGAGAGCTCATTGTTTCCGTGCTGGCCACATGCAGACTCTGAATATGAGTATTTTGATGCTGGCAGCTATGAATCATGCCTTTTGCATACAGTTTTGATCAAAGACCTAAAGATGGAGCACTGGGGTTCTGAATAGAAAACATGTTTTAAAACACATGCTGAGTGCACCTATTTTCCCCTCATTATCTAAATTACTGGTATGGATCACACTGGGCTGTGCCACAATGTCTGACTTTGATATTGAAAAAAAAAAAAGGGGCAACAATGCTCAAAGTAAGTGGCAGCATACTTAATGACACTTTGTCAAGAGGTGATTTGGCAAGGCTTCTTCAAGATGACTTTATGGTACTTGTGGTTTTGCTTAACCTGCACACTGGGAAGGGGCCGCCATCCTTAAAATTACTTTGTCAGAATACAAAACCTCACACTTAAGTATCCATCTATTGACTGCAATGTGTGCTTGGTGGAAAAGTGATAGGGAAATTGTCTTTGTGAAGCCTTCTGCCTTAAAAACTTGGCACCTGTATTAAATTGGTAGGTAAAGTTACCAGTCTTGCCTATGTTACCAGTCTTGGTTTATGACTTGGTTTACGAGGAAAATCTCTGAGAAATGGAATTGTGTACCATCTATATCAAGGAAGATTTTTGTTTTTCCTGTTGCTTTGTTTGCACATTAGAATGCAATTTATGTAATATCCAAGCAAAGTTATTGTCCTTCTCAGTCTGAGTTTCCCATTGTTTGTGTATGTCAAATTGTTTGCAACAGTTGGAAGAAGCTGACTGGTGTGAATACAGTGGTTCCATTATATCTGCATGTCTTGGGTTAAGTGCATCTGAGGGGCCCTCCAAGGATTTTTCAAAGATTTCTCAGTCTTGTATTTTAACCAAAAAGAGTATTAATTTCAGTGTGTCTTTGGTCTGTTAGTGGTATGGTGAGTTTTAATACATTTTGAGGAGTGTATTTTTTAAACGCTGCTAAATGTTAGTCTGTGATGTAGTACTTGATTGTGGGTTTTGTACTTTTTTCACTTGCCCTGCTAACTACCCTTAAATGAGCCTTTATACTAAATAGTTATGCAAACCAAATTTTGGACACTTGGCAGAATACAATTATTTTCAAACCTATATCTGAAAGTTGCCATATGAGGTTACAATGCTTTTATTTATCTTGGTTTTAATTTGTCTCAGTCCTGTGTAAAAGAATGAAATGGGGGTCCCTATTTTACTTTACTGAGTTAGACATAAGTAGTGTGAGTATTTGGTAATTTGTGTCTGCGGGAAAAGAAACATAATCCTTTGAACCAGGTGTTTAAAATATATTTAGATTTTTATTAAGTGCTGTCAGATACATGCAATAAGCACCATCATTTGGTAGATAAAATAACATTGTACTGTAGTAATAGGTTTGCCACTGTACCTGCATGTAATTGAATGGGAATTGCCAACTTGGCAGGAAGAAACAATTTTGAATTGAGCAATTCTGCAACTGAAAACACTTACTGTGCTAGATCCCCTGACCAGCTACACCTGGAGCTTTTATTAGTCATAAGCAGCTTCCTGCAGTCGTTCCATATGTAATGAAACCATCTTATAGATACTTCTAAAGAGGTATCAACTGTATTGTTAGCACTGATTTCAGTGTGCACTTGCAACCGTTCTGGCAGCTGCACCCTTTGCACAAGCTTTATTCATGCAGCACAACTCCAGTGTCAAAAGCACAGAAGAATTAAGCTCCCTTCTGAGAATGGGTTGATTTTTATGGAAGGGTCTTTATCTTTGAAAAGTGTGCAACAGCTTTTTGTGAAAATACTGTAAGCATGCTGCTCAGTCTTGGGTTTCCTTGGTGCAGCCTGCTAGCAATGGTGGAAGGGGCTTGTGGATGTGTGTTGGGAGCCCAAAGGGAAGGAAATGGGATGCAAATCTCTGCTTTGGGGCTGCTGAGGATGAGAGAGATGTGACAGCAGAGCATCTACTGCTGTGATGTTGCACTGACAGGCTGTTGTGCATCACAGGGATGCACTTGTGCTGCCCAGCTGTGGCCCCTGCCTTGTAACTGGGTGTTGAAGGTCAGTGGGTACGTGCTGCTCCTTTGTGCCTCCTGCTAGCCTTGGGTTTTCACTGCTGCCTGTTTTGCCATAAAGCAGAAATGCCAGGGCACTGTTACTGTCAGTTCAGTGAAACAGAGCTCTTGCCTGCTGGTGTGGGATCAAAGCAGTTCTTCAGTCTGAGATTTTGTGTGTTCTTTTCAAGAAATGGTGTGTTTCTTTCAGCATGAAGCTGTTGAAGGAACCAAACATATCGATAGCCCAAAATGTTG